GCCTTTTTGGAATATGAAGGAAAAATATGAACCCAGATAATAATTACAATGTAGTAAGTCTTAACAAAATTCCGCTTAAAAATAGCTTAGCTGAGCAGTTAACGAAAGTTATGTTCATTGGAAACTTTCTTTCATACGTATCTTTAAAACAACGATTAAATATCTTTCTTTTAAGATTTCATAAAGACATAATTATCCAGTTTCATGTGTTGCGATTATAATTATTATCCAAATTACCAAAAACGATTTGTCATTATCACTGAAATTATGACTATTAATATAAAATGAAGTCACAAATTGTTAAAATAAATAGTCATAAAAATTGCTTATTAATATCAAAATCAGTAATGCAATCAGCAATATCTGCTAGGTAATCACTAATCAATAATAATGATGGATCACAAAGCCAACTAGAGGCGATCCCAATTTTTCTCAACGGATTATGATGAAAAATGCTCATATTTAAATGGTGGTAAGTACTTGGTTGATGAACATTTTCCATCGTTCATATAGAAAATAAAGCGTTTCAAAAATTACATTGTATCTTTACATTCTTTAAATTCAGAAACGAAGAAAACTTTTGGAAATATCCCATTATCTCCAAATGTAGCGAATTTTTTTTGTTTCGATGAAAATGTGTTTTCATGTAATCGAAGGAAATGACTTCTAGTTTCGATCACTTTTTAATAAAATTTCAGATTTGGAAGGTGATGTAAGCGATACACTTTGCATGAGGCTTCCGATTCAAGGGTCCCCGCAAATGTCTCCGTATCTCAATCAAAGATTTCTTAAGAAAATTGAAAATTATGCGTTATTTAGGAATTTTATAGCTTGATATTTTTTTTGAGAAGATTACCAAGATCCGCCACTAGATTATTTTAAATTTATTATTGTTATCTCTACCTGATTATACACCACATATTCTCTTAATAAAAGGAATATACTCTGAATCCACTTCTTGCAGTTACTCCTCAATTAACCTTTAGTTGGGAGCATGGGGCTCCCATGAGCCCACCCGATTTGTAAAGAACAGCGTCTTCTTTATGAAATCCGACATAGGTTTGCGATTTTGAGCAAGACCATAAGGTTTTACCAAATAGACTATCGAGAAATTAGTGAATATCGCCATATACCAGTGCATCTTAACATTCACTAATAAAAGTACTACAAAACTAATTTTTTATGAAATTCAAAGTATTAATCTGAACGTATTATACATACAATCATTGTTATCATTCTTGCAAAGTAATATGGTTTTAAATGGTTGTGGTAGAACAACCGGATATTTGAAATCGATTCTTGCTCGGCTTGTGTTCATCCGTTTTTCTTTTTCTTCCTTTTACTCTACGNCTTCTAATTTTGAAATATAGCAGAAGTGGCTTTGTATTGTTTTTCTTTTTAGAATGTAGGGGGGTCAAATTAAGGCATTAAACGTTGTGGTTTATTTTATACCAGATCTGTTCGAAGTTTAAGCACAGTGTGAATTACCGAATTTGTAAATGATATCTTTTAAAGCTACTGGATAAACATGTTCTCATCCGGAATGGAAACCAAACAGACCATTCAAGCTAATGACAATCTTGCGTGCTATCTGACACGTGTCATTTCGAAATTACCGAAATTTTTGTATGTTAACAGTTAAATAAACCGGGTGGTGGTTATATGAGAATAAATCGGCATCACTGATGTAGGTACATATACTTGATACACGGTATTCCTTTACATCTGTAAAGCATTTCGGATCTGTGGCAGCTGCCCGATGTGTTTCCTCTACTGTCTTGTTTATTTATATCATTTTGAATATGTGTAGGCACAGACACGCACTTGTATGCGTGTATACCGCCGATAACTGACATGTTTGAAATCAGTCCAAACAGAAATATTTAACGACGTTTTATCGATGTTCGAAATTAACTTAATCGCCGCAAACAAGAAACATGCTTTACACTATTTGTTCTTTTTTTATCTAGACTTGAAGAGGTTGTTGTATATTTCAACGGTAATTCCCGTTAGAACAGATACAATTACGTCAACTACTAATAAGATATGAATATTAAAAGTCCGTTTCTACGGTAAACGAGACAAACAAGCTCAGACGTCTGTTATTATTATATGCGCTCCGCAAACTTTATAACAAAGTATTATATAAACAAATTTTCTATGATTTCTATGATCTATAAAATTGGCAGCTTATCTTTTTTATCTAAATTTTAAACGTTTAAAGCATAGATTATAGTATTATTAAAAATACTAACTTGAAATAATTTTTTTACCTCATTTATTTGAGGTAGTTTGTAGTGGGTATATAAAAAATTGAAAAAAATGATTTCAAGTTAGTATTGCAAATTAATCCACTATTAAGTAACATACAATGTCATAGGATTTCATATATTTAATATACGTATTATTAAAAATGTTGCCAAAATGAAAATGTGAGTGATATGCCCAATCAATAACGGTAAATACCATCCAAATTTGGAAGGAAACAGGTAGTCTAATAAATAAATTGATATTTTTTTGAACCTAGACAACACACTTTACAAGGGGTGCTATCCAAAAAATTGGTCAGGAGCACCCTAATAGTTAAGGCCGATGTTGGTGATTATACAAGTGGTGAGCTTCGCGTATGTATTAACTTGCTGTTTCCATTTCAGCGTCGTTAATCCTAAAGAAATTACATACACAGGCTTACTAAAATTTCATGTGCACGTAATAAGTAGAAGAACACTTGTATAGCTAATTACATAACCTGCTTAGATTCAAATTAGTCAATAAGAACTAATTGTAAACCAGTGAGTACGGTAAGGTGATTTAATGGCTTAGTGTTCCATGTGGAAGGAATTTTTTTTTTATGTTTGGCTCTTATGGACAAACCGCCGCTGCAAGCAAGAGTCATTATCCTCGGTTGTTCATGCTGCAATTTTGTGCATGTCTGGTGCAACTGGGAGCATTAATTACGTTGTGATATTCGAAAAAAAGTTGAATGATAAAAATTTGTTTCGCCGGTGTAAACAAATCTTAATGATTGGGTATTATCGAGCGTCTGGCTGTGTGAATATGAAAGAGAAATAATGTGAAAAAAAAGCCAGGGACGTATTGAAAAGGCTTATGCGTGAAATTCCACACGAGATAATCTGCGTTCGGCGCTTGAACCAATTAATTAGGAGATCACGGAATACCACTCGTAAAATTATGTATACAACGACTTTTTGTCTCTCTCTTTATTACGCGCCCGTAGATTTTTCAATTTAAATGTAAATAAATGGGAGAATAACTCGCGAATTATACCACGAAATCGACGAAATGGATCCCATTGTTCATTCCCTACACATTACGCCAGTTTTTGTTTTTTTTTTTTTAAATAATATTCACCATATACGAAACTTTACACCGAGAATTATACAATCCCATTAACAAAAGCTACGGAACACGGAAGTGATAATGGCATACGACATNTAGGAGAAGTAAAATTGTTTTCGTTTATGTTAAAAAGTGAGGAAAGTTATTATAGCGCGTTGCATTCTGTAGTCGTTGGGCCTGGGGCCAATAAGCTTGAACTTTCGGAGTTTTCGACGACAAACTCGATTAAGTTAACTCGTTTTGTTTCGTCGAAGTCGCAGATTGCAACTTTGCGAAAACAATAGGCATTAAAAACAATAAACGGACTGTTTTTCTTTTTTATTTTTCCTAGCCGCACTCGTCATACTACTACAAAAGCACAGTGGTTTCTTTGAAAGGATCAAAAATCTGGCCTCTATTCGATTTTAACCATTCTCGCCATACTTAAGATTACGTTAGATAATTGAGTATTATGTTACTTGGTGGAAATTAATTGCAATAGTCATAAAACACAAATTTAATATACATGATTTTCACAAATTCTATTGATTCGCATGAACTTCATCAGAAATTTACATAAAATTTAAAACTGTTACCTTTGCTTAAGTACTAAAGATGGGGATTCCGCACCTAAATCCACTTTCGTCCTGAAAACTACTAGGATTCACCATGGTCTAGTAGACTAATTCCAGGCGTTTTTCCGGCTGCTTCTTTAGTGGTTAGCAATTTATACTGACTGGACCATGGAAATCTCAAAAACCTTTAGGACGATATGGACTCAGGTTGTGAAACCTATGTTCGTTTATTAAATCTGTTTGTTCACTAAGTACGTTATTGTTAGAATTCTTAAATTTGTTGATTACTAAAATTATTTCGAATTAAAATTGTGATTATGTACTTTAGCAAGAATTTGTAGCACTGTTTTATATTTCATGTAACCACTTATGCTTGCAACTTCTGATCCGGATTTCCAATTTTCCTTATAATTGAGCGAAAATTCTTGATACTTGCTAATTCCTTAACAAGAAAATGAATTAAGAATGGTTAAAGGTCTTGAAGAGAATTTCTTGTCCTGTCTTGTAAAAGAAACAAAAGAAGATATGAAGAAGAAGTTCGTGAAACAGTAATCACAATCTGACAATTTAATCTTATACATTCTTTATTATTCACAATTACCGAGTCTAAGTTAGTTTTGTTACTACACATCGGGGTTAATCCTAAATGTCTTAATATATTAACGATACCATGCGCTAGAGTTGTAGATAGATTTATGTATCTTTCCTTTCAAGATAATTATTTTTCACATTTTAGCTTGTCATTTTATCATCCTCGGTTTTTTAACTTGTGTATTCTATTTATAATACAATAATATGCTTTTGTTTGAGATGGTGCAGAGATGCAGACAGTCTGGTTTGATATTGTGTATGGGTAGGATTCTAGCCGGTTACTCGCGTAGGTGTTTAACGCTTTAAACCGGCTTTATTCAATTACCAACTGCAAATTTTTGATCAGAAAGCATGAAAATAAATGAATCACAACGTGTCTTTTATTTTTATTTTAAACCTGTTTAGACGCTCGTATCGCTACAATCAACGGTCTATTGTCTATTGTGTTATATCAAAAGGACTTTCGTAACAATAAATTGATATTAAGTCACTTACCAAAGCCACGCCAGCCACTCTGTTAGAAGAAGGATCTCTAGATATGGACCTGGTCTGTGATCGTTGAGCTCAGATCCTGTAACAAGAGAAAAAGTATAATAGCTGAAGGCAATTTCTTTTTCCAAAAGCTTGAGCTTTAGACTTTAAAGTTTACAGTTTCCGAATTAGCAATCAGGGCGCATACAACATTTAAAAGCGCTTCAATCGGTTTTGATTAGAACAACGAGAAAAAATGTGTAGGTGTGAAAGGATAATATTAGCACAACCTCAAGGAGCAAAACACATCTGTTAGGGTATTCTTTTTTTATGCCCTCTCTTGTTATAGAGATCAGGCAACGAAATGTTTAATTTACACCGTGATTCAGAATCGGTTGTTTTTCTTAAACTTAAATTCAACACCCTCTGACTTTAGGTATAGAAATAGAACGGCATGTGTTCGTTCTAAAGTAAACTTGTCTCTCCTGTCGGTCTTACCTTCGCGACTTATACTCTTGTTTCTATGTGTGTGCATACTTGTACTTATACATTATACAGGGCGATTCTCCGAAACTTTTAAACAAAAGTCTGGAAAGCAGATTTTCTAAAAGTTTTTGAATATACTCGTAACTAAAATAATTTCACGGCTGTCTAACTTCCCGTCATATTCTTATTTTAAACGAATATGTAGGTATATTTTTAGCAAACTTTGAGATTCCATGCTATATTTTAAGGAAATTTTCACTCAGCTCTTTCATCTCTATAGTTCCAATATTCGTAAAAGAATAGAATTTTATTCGACACTGCAGTTTTTTTGGAAATCAATGTTAAATATCATAAAATGGGATGAAGTTAAAGATGAAGATGTTACTTTTAGTGCTTTTATTTCTTTTAATTATGATGAGCTAGTTTTAACCTTCAACAATTTATAAATAAATTAAGAATTTGAAAATTTAATTAAAAATTTATACATTTCGGTTTCCAATAAAGTTTTGTGGCTACTTTTGATATACCTAACGGGGGAATTGAAATGAATTTAATTATAAAGATCAATCAGTTTCAATACCCAAAGCAACTAACAACCTTCAATAAAACCAAAATTATTATGGATTTCTGTGAAACACCATGTATGTATGTATATATATACTTAATATAACTTTACTTATACGTAAAGTACGAACTACACGTATCTGCAAACATACAAGTCGAATGGTATGTGCAATGTTCACTTCCGAATGGGCGAATTTATCTTTTGTGCAAGAGTTTCCACATTCCCACCGTTTATTTGACTCTAGTTAAGACTAGAAATATAGCACTGTCTCTGCGGCATTTCCAAGATATTATTCCACTAAAGAACCGAGTTCAAAAGGGCAAAGACAACGCTGTGTCTTTCTCTGCCAAAACGCGCCGAAATGACATTAGAAACTAAATGCGTATTTCTGTCATAAAGCTAATTATTGCGTCTTCCTCTCAGTACTGACGAACTTTTGATTTAAAACACCTGTATATACTTAAATTATTAGAATTTATAAATAAATGGCTTTTCCTAACATAAATTATCAATTGATTTTTTCTATGCATGGATCAATGCGTAATAGTCTAACCAATTTAACACTATGTCAAACCTAAGGGCTATTATGTCTTAGTAAAGTTGCATTTCTATTAATGAATAAATAAACCAACAAAAGACTCACCCTAATTACCACAAAACTTGTTCAGTGCGGACACGTGTTTCGTGTCTTGGGTGGATAATGCTCACATGAGAAGTAGACGAAACACGTGTCCGGTTTATGGCAATTAGGGCGAGTCTCTTTTTAGTTTGTTTATTAATTCCTTTACTACAGTGTCTTCTGTAGTTAATAATTTGAATACTTACAAGAATTGATCTTTTCACTATCACCACCCCAGTTACCTACCCCCCTTTTATTACTTAGATATCTTGTATTTGACGTTTTTAAAACGGCGCCTTCCCTTAGTGGTGGTACTCAAAATGTTCTAACAGATAATAAATAAAGTTTTTGCAGACAGAAAGAATCTCTAAAAAGTATCTTAAGAACTTAAAGTTTGTGCTTTATTACAGATAGGTCAAACTTTAAGTTCAAGTTTTATGTTACGGAAAAGGGACAGAGGAATACATAAAAGACAAGCAGAGCAGTTTCGTTTGCGTCTTTTATAAGTGTACTACTACAACGTCAGCAGTTTTATTGCATTTCATAGAAAGTTTTAAATAACTTGTCGACGAACGAAGGTAGGTAGGTATAATAAGTATTCCAACGAAAACGTGCACTGTTACCACTGTTTTACGCTGCTGTTTGAAAACGTGTTATTAGAAATGCCATAAAGTAAACAGATGCAATGTTTGGAATAGCGGCCGAGAAGTAGCCAAACTAATAGATTCTAGTCATGCCTGAGAACAAACTACAAGACAGTTAGAACAGAACAAACTATAGTATTTCTACTACGATGTCACCAAAGATTGATATCAATGTGCTACTTTACCATAATCCTCCCACATTCAATTAGTTCTACATTGATATCAAATTCAATGCAATTCATCAAATAGCAAACAATTCATAATGTTTCGTTTGTCTAGAACATCTTTTCTCAATTTTTCTAGTGTCGGGGCCCACTAAATAGCCACGAAGTTTAGTAAAACGAGGTTACGACACCCTCACTACATTATTTTTACTCAAGATTTAGATAAAGTTTGGCAATGTAAAAATGGAAGTCTAAGTATTGGAGGAAGTATTGAAAAAACTGATACCTATCGCTATACTTCTTTTTCGTTCGTCAATAGATTTTCTTAAAAAAAAAAAATGTATAGACAAGATTGCAGTTATGGCATGTCCCAGTGGTAGATCTTGACCCCCGAACAACTCTATATATATGTTATAACGAAATATTGCTGCTTCTGTTTGATTTTGGCCATTAAAATTGAATTTTGTGAAAACAAAAAATTGATGTAATTGATTAGGTTGGTAGATTGTTAGGTTAGGTAAGGTTTTTAACTTTATTGCTGTTCTTACTAGGAACAAACAATACTCGGAAGACATTCTTGTAGATCCCGTTTTTCAAATGGTAGTAGTTTCTTTTTTTTATATTTATTGTTAAAATCTACTAAAGCAAACTGAAAATAATTTGAATGAAAAGCTTGCATTAAATTATTATTTCAAATAACTTTGGCTTTATCATGTGACGATAATATTTAATTTTTTTGTTTTAAATTAAAAATACTTTAATAAAAGTTTGTGGTATTTACTGCACACATTTCGGCCCCCTATATTCATCAACGTAATCCCCTGGTTGAGAAACGATGATTACGAAATTGATTGAAAAGAGTAAACCAACGAAATTGATTTTAAAGAGTAAACTATTTGAGAATAGATAATTATTTGCAATGCGTTTAGTAATTTCAAATTTTACTATTAGTCAACCGCATGTGTACCTATGTAAGTATTTCCCCGAACAATATGCATATCAGTTGGTGGCGGACTTTAAATTTGATACCAATATACAGTGGCTATATATATGTGTGTATACGTGACAGATTTTGATACATTCGTTGGAAGTGTAGCGCTTACACATGTAGTTATTTTGCCTGTACATAAGGCAATCTGCACGTACGATTATTCGAGTTCGCGTGATCACGTAACAAAATTAAGTCGCTTTAATCCGTGAATATTAAAACGTAAAGGTGAGGGATCGTAATGTAACAAGTTAACAAATTCATTAAGATAATTGTTCACTAACGTGGATAATATGCTTTCACTTCTACTTCTTGTTAGGAAACAGAACAGATATCGTCTTCTGTTGATGTCGCAATGCTGCATCAGTGTCAGATAGCCAGAAATGAATCCAGAAACAATTTAGTGATCAAAATTGAGCAGTTCCAAATGTAGACTTAGCTATTTAAGTCATGAAACTAAGCACACAATTACTTTTTGAAACTAAAGTGGCATTACAGTAAAAGTTCCTTCTTTACGATTTCCTTATTCGCGTTTTCATTATTCGCGGGTGAAAAAATTGCAACCCAGTTCCTGTATTAGCAGTTAAAAATGTTAGTATTACTGGTTGCAATCGGTGTCATTTATTAAGGAGATTGACCGCAATAGGCCGCTCGTGCCTATTTTTCCAAAAACATGGGTTTCTATTCTAAACATTGTGATTTAACGCTGCGAGATAAATATTTAACTTTTTGTATGGTAACAGTCAAAGGTTCACACTAACTCGGTACGTTTTTGGTTTTCAATAATACGGTCATTAAAAACACGTATTATCAATAGAAATTAAATAATGGCATCCGACAAGCTTTAGAACAAAGCTTTATCTATCTTACTACAAAATTTCAAACCTCTGTTCCAAATATTAAACTCATGATATCTAGAACCGACGAGCATGTTTTTACACTACGGCGCGTGTATTGCTGAATCCCCTTAATGTATCAGCATCTTTTGAGTATGTACAGTTGGTACGTTACAAGGATTCGGTGTTATTTTTCAACGTATCAGCATTAAACTCTTACCTAAAGCTGATTATAACGATTAAATTTAATTGCGAATTTATCAATACATTGATTTTATTTTGATACATATTGATTTTATTGTGGAACCTTAGAACGTATCCCCTATGATTCCCTACTAATTATGTCATTCCATATCCACGGTTTTTGTATTCGCGGCATATTTATGGAACGTATACCCCGAACGAATAAAGAGCTTTTACTCTATTACAATTTTTTTAAATGTAGTTATTTTTAGGGTTCCATACGTCTAAATGAACAACGGAGCACTTGTAGGATCACTCGTGTGTCTGTCTGTCCGTTTTCTTTGTGCTTGAATACTTTTTTAATTTACGTCATAAGTTATACGTATACATAAGTTGCCAATTAGTTTTATTCCAGCATCAACTTTGTAGAAAAAGGTCCAATAAAGGTAATATTGGTAATTTATTAGATGTTAATAAACTTTTTTACGAGCTTTCGTCAGCATAGCGGCTGACCTCTTCAGGTAATACAAAGTTGTACGAATCATTCGAAAAAACAACCAACATTACCGTTAATGGTCAACTTGTGTCTTTGTATTACCTGAAGGGGTCAGTCGT